CTTCCTTCCTTCCTTCCTTCCTTCCTTCCTTCCTTCCTTCCTTTCCCCCTCCTTCCTCCTTTCTTTCTTTCCTTCCTTCCTTCCCTCCTCCCCTCCCTCCCTCCCTTCCTTCTTCCTTTCTTTCCCTCCTTCCTTCTGTAGTCTCTTGTCAGGTATTTTGTCACTTTGCAGGTGTGCCTAGTTTCTTCTGGCTTGTGATAAATCACAGGTGTGAGTGTGACTTATTGCTGAGTCCCGAGAATCCCCCTGGAGAAGAGGCTGTGTGTGACATTTGAACAAGCTCTGCCAGCCTTTCAGAAAACAACCACTTCAGTTGGCAAACCATCCCAGGGAACAGAAAGCAGTGAAATTCTCATTTTTCTGAGCTGGTCAAGCATAGCATGAAGAAGGAAATTTATTGGACAATCATCACTTATTAACAAAGATATAGTAATAAAATATTAGCCGAACTCACATTGCATATACATGAATGTATTTTAAAACACAGGGGGAGGGGCTGGAGAGATGGATCAGTGGTTAAGAGCCATGGCTGCACTTGCAGAGGACCTGGGTTTGGTTCTCAGCACCCAGCTGGTGGCTAACAACCACCCATAACTCCAGTTCCAGGAGCTCTGTCAACTTCTTCTAACTTCTGCAGGCATTGCATGACAGGGGTACACTTACATACGTGGAGGCAACACACTCATGCATATAAAAAACACAAAGATGGTAGCATATAATACAGTCTTTTTTTAACCTAATAGATCTCAGAATCAAATGAATATTGGTACATTTAGGATGGCTATATCCCCCCCCTTTTTGGCAATGTGGAGACACAACTACATGATAATTAGAAATGAAATGAAACTTCTGATCAAAGAATAATTTAAACAGATGCTGCCGAATTATTCTCTATAGAGTTGCATCAGTTCACATTGACAGCAGCAACATAAATTCAAATAAATGCCTAAAAAGAGAAAGCTTAAGAAAAAACACAAACACAGTAGTAGCTATCAAAAGATAGAAATAAAATATCAAGACAATACAAGGAAGGAAATGATGCCATGGATCTCAGCTGTTCAATGAAAAGTATGATTAAAAGGCTAGAATTCAACCATGAACATTTCACGAGTGATTGACCTAAAACACAATGAAATAGACTATGGCAAATAATGTAAGGCAAAAAGGAGCAGAAACCACAACACTGAGACCAAGTGAAGTGGGGCAGATAGCATCAGAAAGGAACAAAGATGCCATGTAAAATAGGCCAAGTGCACAGTACATGCAGAACACTTAATAGAAATAAGATTTTATGTGTCAACACAGGAATGAACATAAAATAATTTTATTTATTTATTTATTTTTATTTTATATGTATGAGTGTTTTTCCCTGCAGTGCCCGTGGAGAACAGAAGAGGGTGTCAGATCCCCTGGAACTGGCGTTACAGATGACTGTTAGCTGCCATGTGGGTGCTGGGATTTGAACCCAGGTCTTCTGCAAGAACAACCAGTGCTCTTAACCACTGAGCAATCTCTCTAGCTCCCTATAAAATAACTTTTGCATGTGTATGTATGTAGGCTGTGCATGTGTGCATGCATGTGCATAGATGTGTGCGCACATGTATGTGGGGCATGTGTGTATGTGTGTGAACATGCACATTACATGTGTGACTGTATGTGGTGGTCAGAGGCGGATGTTGAGTGTCTTCCTCAATCACTCTCCACCTAATACATTGTCAGGGTTTCTCACTTGAACTGGAACTCAACAACTGGCAGCCTGACAGCAGCTACAACTTCAGTTCCAGTTCCAGCTATTGGCAGCTAACAGCAATCTGTAACACCAGTTCCAGGGGATTCAATGCCCTCTTCTGGTGTCCACAAGCATTGCAGGCATGTGGTGCTCTTATAAACATGCAAGCAAAACACTCATACACATGAAATAAAAATAAATAAGTAAAAAAACCACAAAAAACATCAATTAGGACTAGAGGAACTGGCAATTAACTTGAGAATGTGTAACAATTTGGGGGAAGAGTGGACTCAGTCATCAAAGTCAACAGCATTTATTATCTTTGGATTCGAAGATTGTAAATAGGGGCTGGAGAGACGGTTCAGTGGTTAAAAGCACTTGCTACTCTTCCAGAGGACCCAAAACAGGTAGTTCACAGCACCTGTACCTTCCACTCCAGGGGATCTCATGTCCCCTTCTGGTCTCCTTCAGCATCTGTACATATGTGGCATGGGCACACACACACAGACACAACATGCACACAGGTAAAAATAAAATATCTTTTTAAAAGGTATGAAAATGAAAAATTAAGTCTGCTCTTTTTGTATTTTATAACTTTCTATAACAATTATATTATTCTTAATTTTTTATTTTATTTCTTACCATTATTTTAAAATTTTTAAATTATTTTATTTATTATTTTTATTTTATGTGTATGAGTGTATTGCCTGCATGTATGTGATTGCATCCATGTCGTGCAATGCCATGGAGGTCAGGAGAGAGTTTTGGATTCCCCTGGAACTGGAGTTAAGGATGGTTTGTAGCCACCATGTGGGTGCTGGGAATAGAACCTAGGTCCTCCGCAAGAGCAGTCAGTGCTATTAGCTGCTGAGCCATCTCTCCAGCCCCTATTTATTATTTATTATTTATTTTATTTATTATTTTATGTGCATGAGTGTATTGCCTGCATGTATGAAAGCGCACCTGTGTTGTGCAGTGCCCTCAGATGTCAGAAGAGGGCACTGGATACCCTGGAACTGGAATTACAGATGGTTGTTAGCTGTCATGTGAGTGTTGGAAATCAAACCCAGGTCCTCTGCAAGAGCAGCCAATGCTCTCCAGGCCATATCCATTAGTTTTTTTTCTTTTTTTTTTAATGGAGACCCTATGTGTTATTCTTTTTTTTAATTTTTATTTTTTTAAATTTTAATTTTTAAAGCATATGTGTGTAATTACTGTATGTAGGTAAGTGCATCTGTCTCGTGCAATGCCCACAGAGGACAGAAGAGGCAGTTGGATCCCCTGGAACTGGAGTTACAGACAGTTGTTAGCTGCCATGTGGGTGCTGGGATTCAAACCCGGATCTTCTGCAAGAACAGCCAGTGTTCTTAACCGCTGAGCCATCTCTCCAGCCCCCCTTTGTGTTATTCTTATGAGGAGAAAAGGTACAACAAAAGTTTTTAAAAACTAGGGGACCAACATAATATGAACAGGAACTATCTCCCCAGTAGTTTCTAAAACCACCATGTCTTGCTACGGACTGCAGGTGTTTTCACACCTGCTAATGAAAAATTGCTTTTATTTGGGATAGTCAGTGGAGAGGACTGAGAAACTATAAGGGAAATTTGATGTACTGGTGTAAACCAAATAAATTCTGTATTGAGACAGAATCTTATTATGTAACCCAGGTTGGTCTGAGTGCTGGGATTTCGTGGGTATTCCACCATGCCTGCCTGAAATTGAATTTATTACCATAGAAAAATATTCACAGGTTATGTCTGACTTGTTCATCATGTGTACCTGGTGCCTAGACACATGATGCCCTGGTGCCTAGAAAATAAGTAATATAAGACTTGATAAATACTTGTTATATAAATGAGTTCCCTGGATCAGTCTGTCTGTCTGTCTGTCTATCCTCTATCTAATCTATCTATCTATCATCTACCCATCCATCCATCCATCCACCCTTCCATCTATCTATTTATCTATCAACAGAATCTCATATAGCTCAGTCTGACCTCAAATCTGCCAAGTAGCCAAGTAGCCATGGCTAGCCCTCATCAAACGCCTGATCCTCCTGCCTCAGTCTCCTGAATGCTGGGATTACAGTCCTGGAGGGAATGCTTGCCTGCCCTGGCTGTGGCTTGTAAGTTTGGCATGGGTCCCCCAGTGTTCACTCACCGACAGAGGCAGGATGAGAGGCTCTCCAGGGAGAAGGTTCTGTGGTGAAGACTGGTAGTTAGTAAGAACCTTGAACTCAAAGTCAACCTTTCCAATGTTCTTCAGTGTGATTTCACGCTCTGTGATGTGGTCAAACAGCTGAGAGGAAGGGAGGAATGATTGTCACCCACCCGTGGGATGTTGGTGTCACTCTGACAAAGTAGATCAACAAATGTATCCTACAGATGCATCCTCTGAATTTCATAAGACACTGATCAACCCACATTTGAGCATCACAAAAGGGGATCCTGGGACAGGACTACTGGGCCACACAAACCTGGCTCTTGGTCCTAACCACGGGTTTAGTTTAACTCTGGCCACAGGAATACACTTCAAATCCCTGTCTCTGGTACTTCACTATGGGAAGTTATATTTGAGGATCCTGAAGTAAGTTTTCTAAAATGAGGGGAAAACAAAGTATATCCTATCCTATGTAGAAAATGCAAGTCTTGAGTTTAGAATAATCTAGAATGACTTTTTCTACGTATGCAAGGAACCATGAACATAATATGCCAGTTGAGATTTTGCTAGTGTAATTTACCAGCTCATATGGTGGGGCCAACACCCAAATCTGACACCTATTTTAGGAGTCCCTAGGACAAGTCACGGCAAGGACTAGCTGTTTTGGATGGAATCAGGCACATTTAGGATGATATGGAGATAGCCTGAACTAGCTGTTTCGAAGAATACATCAGACATGAGTTGAAACCGATTTATCAGAGGACCCTGGAGGTGGGGAAGAAAAGAATTCTATTTGGTCAACACAATGGAGAAGGTGTCAGCTGGTCACAGATGAATCTGAATCCAGGAACTCTCTAAACTATAGATAGAAATGCATACACACAATTCAGTAATTTATACTTGGCATAGCTACGTAATGGGAAATCCCATTACAAATTATCAGTACAGATTGCCAAGATATATGGTCTCTGAGTACATAACACAAAATCTAACTGGGAAGACTTATACAGAGGATGAACTGACAGTTATCCCTGCCCCCAATTAGATAACATATTGCATTATGGCTGAGACTATACTTAAGTGTCAAGCAAAGATAAGAAGATGACTTTGAGATGGAGCTGAGCTGGATCTTACAGGATGAATAGGTTTGGGGGTGGCAGAGTGATATATAAGAAGGGATGATGCATGGTAAAGTGCAGAGACAGGAAGGACTGGGATGCATTAGGGCTAGCAACTAAACCGATGGCTACAATGGGGGATTTGGGGCAATGCAATTTCTGTAGAGAAGTATGAGTTAAGAGGATTTAGGGCATGCTCACTAGGTAATCTTATGGGTGACAGAGAAAGGAACTCATGGTGATTCACAGGAATGTCTACTGAGACCCAGACAAAGGATGGGCCAGACCTCCTGGCAAGGCTGGCAGGCTTTGCTTCCCATCCCCATCTTACAAATGGGGGGGGGGGGGAGGTTGCCAAGGCTTGGAAAGGTAAGGTGATAGCACAGTAGGAAGTCAAACAGGATAACGAACGGTGTTGTTTTCTTAATACTATCTTAATGGGATTAATTAGTCAGGGACTGATGGAATGAAGATACACTTTTAGGAAACTGTGTCTGGAAGTGATGTTTGTATGGGTTAGTGGTGGAAGCTGGGAATGCATCGGAATGCCTTGCTTGCAATGGGTTTGTAGACTTGAGGCATCAGTACTACCTGGGAGGGAGCTTGTTCAGGTCATCTTTGACTGCATAGTGAGTTTGAGGCCAGTCCCGTCTCAAAAAAAATTTAGGTATGGCTTGATGAAGTCCCGTAGTGTGATCACAATGGTGACTCAGAGTGGGGACTGGGATGGGTGACTTGGAAACATTGGATGTTGCAAGGATAGGGGATTTTGGGGAGACAGCAGTGAAAAAGCCTTGGAGATTATAAATGGATGGGCATGAGAAAATTGCAGTGTCTATGATGGAAACTTGAGTGTCTATGATGCTAAGTTGGGGGAGAGAGTGAGAGAAGCCAGTGAACATAACTGGTAAACTGATGGGAGCAGGAGGACCAGCAACAGGGATGCTGATTATAGATCAAGGGTGGGTGAGACAGTGAGACTGTGATGATCAGCAGTGATTCAAGAGAGATTCAAGGACAAAGGCTACATACGTGTTAAAAGCAAACCCAGAAAACCCGCAGTACCTGCAATCCATAGTTAATATCCTTGGTATTGAAGGAGTAGTTGACCAGGGACGCTTCTCCCTTCAGGATTATTTCGTAGGTGGGCCCTCCTTCTACTTCACACAGAGCCTTGGCCTGTGCAATGATGTTGCAGTGTCCATAGAAGGTGAATGAGATCTGATGGCTGCTGTGTGGCTGCAGAACTCCATAGAGCGGCAAAATGTCAAAGACCTGCCAAGAAAGTCATCCCACGTGGGAACGGCTATCAGTATGACAGGGGAGCTAAAAGCAATGTCAATGGACAGATGTATTCACAACTTTTAACTTGCTTAACCTGGTAAACAGTGACTAGTTCAGCATTCCAAACACATATGAAGGTATAGGCTCTGGAGAGATGGACATTTCTAATGTGGAGCATGTGCTTGGAAGTCAGTGCTGGGCACTGAGGACATTACTTACCTCTTCTATCCCAATGGAAAGCATCTCCTCCTGTTCAAAGATCCACAGGGATTCTGGGAAGTCTGCCTGGCTCTGGCTTCTTTCTGTTCCAGCAGAGCTGTATTTTATTTCCTAGAAATTGAAGAGTGAGGAAAGGTTATCACATATTTATAATGGCTCATCAGTATGCACCTCTCCATCACTGAGAGAAAAAAGGAAATATACATGATTTTTAAAATATGACATTTTTTTCGTAGGGAGATAATTGAATGATGCCTCAAATGTGCATATGTGGATGTTTACACAGTTATTTTAACAGGGCAACTCTGAAAGTGACTTAACCACCTACCAGTAGTAGGATGCTTTAAATAAAGTATGCGTGGTACCTCTCTATTCATGGAGGATGACACAATGTGCATTTACGGCCAGGAATAACACATATAACATGTTATTGAGAGAAAAAGGGTTTTCATTCATGTGAAATTACATAGGCCTCAAGTAAATCACACTCTGAGGGCATGAGTGAGTGCAAATTCATTCTGAGATTTGCATATGCAGAACAGGTATCTGGGAGATTGCTAGAAATTTCACTAGTATTTTTCTTTAGAATGATGGGATTTGGAGGATTTTTACTTTCATTTTTCTGTCTTGCTTGAATTTTCCATGGCAAATCATCAAACACTTAAATGATAAATGCTTTAAGAAAGGACAGGGGAAGGTATGTGTATGTCTCTACCCCATGTACTTATGTCTATCTATACCCCATGTGACTGAAGAGTCTTCATGAGCATCATTTAAATATCAAAAAAGTTATATAAGGAAAAATTAGTAAGGCTTCCAGTTCTATCCCTACTTCTCCAGATGGCCCTTAGGCAGCTGCTGTCCAGTTTTTGTCATCTGGTTATATTCTTCATTTGAACAGTATTTCCTATTGTTAGAATTGTTTCCATTTTTTTCTTTTATAAATAAAGCTTCAGTGTAGAAGGATAGTTATGTCTTCATATAAACACAGAGGCAATCTTCTAGAAGAGGGGGAATGCATTTTAACTATGCCTGCCAAGTAACATATCACAGAGTTTATACCAGTTTACACTCCTACCTGTAATGTATAACATTGCCTGTTCACATCCATTCATTGCCATGATTGATACACCTTTCTTTCTTTCTTTCTTTCTTTCTTTCTTTCTTTCTTTCTTTCTTTCTTTCTTTTTTTTTTTGGTCTTTTTGAGATAGGGTCTCACTGTAGCCCCCAGCTTTCTTGGAACTCACTACGTAGACCAGGCTGGCCTCAAACTCACAAAGATCCACCTGCCTCTGCCTCCCAAGTGAGGCATGTGCCACCACGCCCAGCTGACTGATACATTATTTAAAAGGCTGTGCTTAGCATGGATACACAGTGTGCTGGACAGTTTCAGTTGTCAACTTGACACACCTGGGAAGAGGGAATCTCAATTGGGGAATTTCCTCTATCTGATTGACCCCTGGGCATGTCTGTGAGGCATTTTCTTGACTGTTGAGTGATGTGGGAGGGCCCAGCCCATTGTGCCAGCCCTGGGCAGGTGGTCCTGTGTTGTATAAGAAAGCAGGCTGAGCACAGGCCAAGGGATCAAATCAGTAAACAGTGTTCTTCCTTGGCTGGTCACAGTTTCTGCTTCAGCTCCTGTCTCCAGGTTCTGGCTGAGTTCTTGTTTAGCTTCCCTCCATGATGGACTGTGAGCTGTAAAATGAAGTGAACCCTTTCCCCCTCAATTTGCTTTTGGTCAATGTTTTAACAATAGCAATAGAAATCAAACTAATATACAAAGTAATTTATTTTGTATTACTTTTTTGATTTTGTTTTTGCTATTTCTAAGGTGGCATAACAAACATCTTTCCTTTTCTTGTAAATTTTTTATTGAATTTTGTGTATTTGACAGAACATCTTTTATATACCCTTTCTCATGGGCACCCTCCCATGCTCCCCAACCCCAGAATTAATGCATTCTTTCATTTCTGTTAAGGCCTATCAAGTCAAGTTAATGTCCCCAGACATCCCCTCAGTGCAAGTTCATCCACTGAGGTCTAGTCAGCCTATCTAGAGTCTCTTCCTTTAAGATCAGCTCTTTCTCATCCAGCAGTAATCAGTTGCCCAATAGTTCTTTGGCTAAGATCGGGGACTGCTGCCTGTTTCCACGGTTCTGTACTGGGTTTTTGACTGCTTGAGTTTGCATGGGTCTTGTGCATGCTGACACCATTGCTGTAGGTTCATATGAGCAAGGTCCCAGGAGCCTGTAGGACTCTATTTCCATATGGTCATGTACCTCCTCCCTGGCTCTTACAATCTTTCTTCCCCCTCTTCCGCAATGGTCCCTGAGCCCTGAGTGAGTGGAGTTTAATATAGGAGTCCTGTTCAAGGACCCACACTCTGCAGACTCTTATTCTCTATGCTTTGGCCATTGTGTCCTTTTGTGTTCATGGCCCTCTGTTGCATGAGGGAGCTTCATTGATGAGAGTTAACAGATGCATTAGTGTTCTCTCTACCTCTTGTTCTACTGTGTTCCATGAGCCTTAGGTGTAGAGGTTGCATTGTAGATGTGCCACTTAGGCTTGGGAAATTCACAGACAATCTCTGTGTATGGCCAGATATGGAATTCTGTAATAATCTCCATCTGTTGCAAAAGAAGATTCTTTGATGAGTGGTGACTTGTATACTTGTCCCCTCTCATTGAGTGTACTTTAAGTCCAATTAAGTAGCTGTTGATTACCCCCAAGATAAAAGTACCATTACTGCCCCAATATAGTTTGCTATGAGGGTCATTGTTGTGGTTATTAGGCCTTAAAGCTTGGGTTGGACTATCAATTGATGTTCTCTCTTATCAGCTTGCATAGTGCTCTCCAAAACTAGGAGAGCTAACTTTCAGGGACGGCAGTTTCCAGGTTCATTCTAGCTTAATTGCTCCAAATCCCGTGTCTGAAGTATGTCCTGTCTTCAGCAATATGGCCTTACCTTCAAGTTCTGGGAGGTGATCAAGGGTTGTGGCAATAGCCTGTGTAATTTTGGGAGTCTCCTGGACTACCCTGGTCAACAACTCAAAGGGACGTTTCTTCTGTCTGATACTGTTACTTGTTATGTAGCCTTCAGCTATACACATGGACTCATGCAGAGATACTGTATGTGAATTTTTCAGTAGGCTTTTGGGCTAATATGATTCCCTCCGGTTTTTTACATTAGCTAGGCATAATTTATCTCTCCTCTCTCTGTCCCTGTCTAACCCTCCCTCCACAACCTCCCCAGTTAAAGTATCCCCATTTCTCCCTGTCTCCTATAGTCCCCTCTCTCTTGAGATCCTTCTTCCTCTTTACTCCCATAGTTCCTTGTATAGCCCTCCCTCTCCCATTTAAATACCCCATTTTACCCATTTCTCTCTTAGTAAAACCTGTCTCCTACTGTTCTCTCTCAGGTTCCTTCTTTACCTTTACCTCCCTAGTTGGTTCTTTTCCATGTTCCTGGCTCATGCAGTTACATAAGGATATATACTCACATATAAGGATTCGGTGCTATTATCTACAAATGAGGGAGAACATATATTATTTATTTTTCTGAATCTGTGTTATTTCACTTAGTATAACAGTTTCTAGTTCCATTCATTTACCTGCAAATTTCATGATTTTGTGTTCTTTACCACTGAGTAGAATTCTATTGTATAATAGAATTTTCATTATCCACTCACAAGTTGAGGGGCACTTAAGTTGCTTCCATTTCTTAGCTATTGTGAAGAGAGTAGCAATAAAGATGGATATACAAGTACCTCTGCAGTAGGATGAGTCTTTCGGGTATATGCCAAGGAGTGGTATGCCAACTGAGGTTCATTTCAAGAGTTCTTTACACTGCCTTCACGGAGTTGCGTGAGTTTGCAATCCCACCAAGCAGTGGATGAGCATTTCTCTTTCCCCACATCCTCTCCAGCATTTAGTGTCATTTGTTCTCTTGATCTTAGCTGGTCTGACTGGGGTAAGACGAAATCTTAAAGTGGTTTTAATTTGCATTTTCTTAATTACTAATAATGTTGAACATACCATCTTTATTTCTTCATTTCAGAACTCTCTGTTCAGATCCATAGCCCACCTTTTAATAGGGTCATTTGTTTTCTTGATTCTTTGTTTTTTGAGTTCTTTATGTATTCTGGATGTTAAACCTCTGTCAGATGTGTGCTGGTGAAGATTTTCTCCCACCCTGTGGGTTTTATCTTCACTTCCTTGGTTGTCTCTTTTGCTGTACAGAAGGTTTTAAGTTTAATGAGGTCCCACTTGTAGATTGTTGACCTTAATTCCTGAGCAACTGATGTCTGATTTAGAAAGTCCTTTCCTGTACCTATATCTTGTAGGTTACTGCCAATGTTTTCTTCTAATGGTTTCAGAGTTTCAGGTTTCACATTGAGGTCTTGTATCCATTTGAAGTTGATTTTTGTGCAAGGTGAAAGATAAGGGTCTAGTTTCATTCTTCTACAGGTGGAGACCCAGTTTTTCCAATACCATTTGTTGAAGATGCTGTTTTTCCTCCAGTGAGTGTTCTTGGCAACTTTGTCAAAGCAGAGCTGAAACTGCATGTACTTGTGTTTAGGTCTTCAATTTTGTTCCATTGATCTATGTGTCTATTTGTGTGTGTGGCAGTATCATGCTGTTTTTGATGACTATAGCTCTGCAATATAGTTTGAAATCTGATATAGTAATCCCCCAGCATTGCTTTTTGTGCTCAGGGTTGCTTTGTGCTTCCATTTGAATTTTAGGATTTATTTTTCTAATTCTGTGAAAAATACCATGGGGACTTTTTTGGGATTGCATCAAATTTATATATTGCTTTTGGTAGGATGGTTATTTTCACAATATTAATTCTTCCAATTCATGAGCATGGGGTTTTTCTTCCATCTTCTGGTGTCTTCCTCAATCTCTTTTTTAAAAGACTTAAAATTTTCATTGTAGAGATCTGTATGTCATTGGTCAGATTTATTTCAAGATTTTTTTTAGGCTACTGTGAATGGAAGGGTTTCCATGTACTTCTCTGATTGCTTGTTATTGGTAAATAGAAAGGCTACTGATTTTTATGCATTAATTTTGTAACCTGCCACTTTATGGAAAGTGTTAATCATTTCTAGGTGTTTTCTGGAGGAATTTTTGGAATTTCTTAGGTATAGTATCACATCATTTGCAAAAGGAGATAATCTGACTTCTTTTCCAATTAATATTCCTTTAATTTCCTTCTCTTGTCTTATTACTCTAGAAAGAGTTTCAAGCACTATATTGATAACGGACATCCTTGTCTGGTTCCTGATTTCGATAGGAATGCTTCCGGTTTTTTTCCACTTAGAATTACATTGGCTGTGGGTTTGTTGCATATAGTTTTGACTATATTGAGGTATGTTCCCTCCGTTCAATTCCCTCTAAGACTTTTAACATAAATTCATGCTGAATTTTGTCAAAGGCATTTTCTGCATCTATTAAGACTGTGTGATTTTTATCTTTGAGTCTATTTGTATGAGTTATGACATTTATTGACTTATGTATAATGGAACACTCTGGAATAAAGCCGACTTGATCACTGTGGATGATCTTTTTGATGTGTGTCTGTATGTAGTTTTAGAATTTTGTTGAAAAATTTTACATCTATTTTTATTAAGGATATAGGACTATAGTTTTCTTTTTTGGTTGTATCTTTATCTGGTTTTGGTATTAGAGTGATACTGGCTTCATAGAAGGAATTTTTGAGTTCCCTCTCTTTCTATCTTTTTGAATAATTTAAGTAGTATTGGTTGTAGATCTTTGAACGTCTGGTAAAATTCTGCTGTAAACCTATGTGGGTCTGGGCTATTTTTAATCAAGAGGTTTTATATTTCTGTTTCAATTTCCTTATATGTTATGGATTGGTTTAAGCTGTTGATCTCTTCTTGGTTTAGCTTTGGTGGTTCCAATGATTTCAGCTTTTCATCCATTTCTTTTAGGTTTTTAAAAGTATTACCTTATAATATTCTGGATCTTTTGGTGTCTGTTGTAATATTTCTCCTTTCATCTCTGATTTTGTTGATTTGGACTTTCTTTCTTTCTTTTGGATAATTGGGCCAAGGGTCTGTCTATCTTGTTTATCTTTTCAAAGAACCAGTTCTTAGATTCATTGATTCTTTGTATTGTTTTCTTTGTTTCTATTTCATTAATTTCTGGTCCGATTTTTGTTATTTCTTCTCATCTGCTGGGTTTGCATTTCATTTGTTCTTGTCCTTCCAAAGTCTTGAGTTGCAATGTTAAGTCATGTATTTGCATTCTTTCTGATTTTTACTGTAGGCACTTAGAGCTATAAACTTTCCTCTTAGGACTGCTTTTAAAGTGTCCCAGAGGTTTTGCTGTGTTGTATTATCCTTTTTGTTTAGTTCCAGGAATACTTTTATTTCTTTCTTAATTTCTTCTTTGACCCATTAATCATTCAGGAGTGTGTTTTTTAGTCTCCATGAATTCATGTAGTTATTAGGATTTCTTTTGGTGTTGATTTTAAGCTTTATTGTACTGTGGTCTGATAGAATGTATGGAATTATTTCAATTTTTTTGTATTTATTGAGGTTTGTTTTATGTCCCAGAGAAAGTTCCATGAAGTACTGAATAGAAAGTGTATTCTTTGGTGCTTGGGTGGAATATTCAGTAGATGTCTGTTAGGCCCATTTGATGTAATTTAATCAGGCCCATTGTTTAATTCAGATGTCTCTCTGTTTATTATTTGTCTGGTTGATCTATCTAATGGAGACGGTGCAGTATTTAAATCCCCTACTATTACTGAGTTTGGGTTAATCTTTGTCTTAAAGTCCTGTAGTACTGTTTTCTTTCTTTCTTTTTTTTTTTTAATGAAATTGTGTGCACTAGAGTTTGGTGCATTTATGTTCATGATTGTAATATCTTCTTGGTCAATTATTCATTTGATCAGAATGAAGTGACCCTCTTTATCTCTTCTGATTAATTTTAGTTTGAAATCTATTTTGTCAGATGTTAGAATTGCAACCCCTGCTTGTTTCTTAGTGCCGTTTGGTTGGAATATTTTTTTTTCCTACTTTCACCTTAAGGTAGTGCCTGTCCTTGTAGGTGAGATGGGTTTCTTGCAGAGAACACAAAGATGGATTTTGTTTTTTAATCCATTCAGCTAGCCTGTGTTTTTTGACTGGGGAGTTCAGTCCATTAAGTTATTGAAAGATTTGTATTGGTTGCCATCATTTTAATTTGTTTTCATTATTGGTCTAAATTTGTGTTTCCACAATTATGCCTTCATTTAGTTTCTTTCTTTCCCCCCAGGGTATAGTTGTTCCTTTCTCCATTCTTTGTATTGCTCTGAGTATTCTCTGAATGGCTGGCTTATGGACAGGAATTCTTTCAGCCTATTCGTGTCATGGAAGATTTTTCTATCCCCTTCAACTACAATTGACATTTTTGCTGGGCAAAGTATTCTGGGTTGGCATCTATGGTCATTTAGAACTGGAAATACTTTGGTCCGGGGTCTTCTGGCTGTCATAGTTTGCACTGAGAAGTCAGCTGTAATTCTGATGAGTTTTCTTAGTATGTGACGTTGTTCTCTTGCAGCTTTCAGTATTCTCTCTTTGTTCTGTACATTTAGTGATTTTTACTATGGTATGCTGTGGGGAGTTTCTTTTCTGGTCCTGTCTATTTGATGTTCTATGTGCTTCTTATATTTTTATGGGCATGTCCTTCCTTAATTTTGGGAAATTTTCTTCTACAATTCTGTTGAAGATCTTCCCAATACCATTTACCTGAGATTCTTCTCCTTCCTCTACGCCTATGATGCATAAACTTGGTCTTTTTGTGGTGTCCTGCATTTCCTGCATACTCCACTCCTGTGTTTTAAAATTTTTCATATTCTTTGCTTGACTGGCCCAGTTGTTCAACTTCGTTGTCCAATCTTGATATTTTGTTTTCCATTCCATTCATTCTTTTGGTGAGGCTTTCTCCTGTCATTTCTAATTGGCTTATTGAGTTTTTCACTTCCTTCTTCATTTCAACCTGACTTTTCTTCAATGTTTCTATCTCTTTTGTGAATTCAGTCAGAAGTTTATCCCTATCTTCTTTTATTTCTTTGATTTGTTTGTGTGTTCTTTAAATTCATTGAATTTTTTGATCGTGTTTATGATTGTTCTTTTAAATTCTGTGTCTTGGGTTACCTCTAGGGGGTTCTCAGTACAGAACTCTTCTATAGGACTGGTGGTGTTTAGTGGGAACATATTATTTTCATTTTTCACATTATTATTTTTCATTGTGATTTTGGAATATGGATTTCTTTTGTTGTTTGTGATTCTGGTATGAAACTCAAGCCCTCCTTTGTTGAGTGGAAGTCTGATTCTGTTTGTATTATTGATGTGCCTCAGTTGTTTCCTGATTATGAATGAAAAGGTGGCTGGTCTAGGCCTCAGGTTCTTTCTTTTGATTTTATATTGGAGGGACCAGATGGCTCTAGTCTGGACACTCAGGAGCTCTCCAGGAGGCTGAAGAAGCCCTGGCTAGTTAGGAGCACTTCAGAAGCCTCAGATGGGTAGTGTCAAGGTCCAAAGAAAGGAGATGGGAGATGGAAGTGCTGGTCCCTACTAGTCAGGGCAGAAAGGCTGAGCCCTGAAGCATGGGAGAGACTGCAGATGGTCCCAGAGGAGGGGTATGGACACAACACTATTTGGGAAGCTCACTCCCTGGAGGCCCAAGTCAGGCACCAGTCAGGTATTCTCAGGCTTTCTCCTAAGGTCTGAGCCCCTAGCTGCTAGCAGTCATAGCATCTGAGAAACTCACTAGGCAGAGGCCTGATTCAGATGCTCTCAGGCAGTCTGCAATGGTCTGGGCCTCTACTAACCAGGAGAGAAGCCTGGCCCTGGGGCAGTGGGCAGGGCTGCTGGTGTGGTCCCAATGTAGGGGGATGGGTATGGTATGATTTGGGAAGCTCACCACCACTCAAGAAGCCAGATGCTGGATTCAACAAACATTTCTCTATTGGAATCCCCTGTGTCTCCAATGGTTTTCTTAGGCCATCATTCTAAAGGATAATTTAAGGGTATATGGTGTCTGTGTGTGTACATGTTCATTGTGTGCACGTGTGTGGAGGCTAGAGGTCAATGTTGAGTGTCTTCTTTGATTGACCTCTACCTTATCTTTTGAGATTAAATTCTCTCATTGAACTTGAAAGTTCACCAATTTGGCTAGGCTGTAGGAATCCACCCTCCATACCTACTATACCAGTGCTTGGATGACAGATGTGTACCACAGAGACTGACTGTTTACATGGGTTCTGGAGAGTCAAATTCAGGACCTCTTGCTTGCACAGCAGGAGCTTTTCCCCACTGAGCCATCTCCGTAGCCCAAGGGTGTGCATTTCCTCTCTTGATCTTCCCTTTGTTTTTACTATGGCAGTCCTGAGGAAGTCTTATGTAGCCTCTATGTAGAGAGTGGAAAAGCACAAGACCACCCAGGCCTGGAGATCACTGACACTTTTCTCTTTTGGAGATCTGCATCTTAAGGTACCCCGGACTCTCACTGTGGCGATGGCTCTGGGGAGAAGCAGACAAAGGTCCATGACCTCAGCTTGACTTCACTCAGCATTGTACTTGGCACCCTGTTCCTGGTACTCCTTAACTTTTGGAAGGATCCTCTACTTACACCCCTCCCCATTCTGGGCAAAGGAACCGTACCTCTGAGGCCATGGTGGATGCTGTGGGTTTTTTTATTTCTCTTTCTTCAGGTCCAGCTTCATCATCTATAAGGATAGTCCTGGGGAGTGTAAGGAAATGAGAGAGTCAGTCATTTGGCAGCCATTGCCACCCAGCCCAGAGGTGTCCCCTCCCTATCTTCTTCTTTCCCTCTGTCACAGATCCAAAATAACTACAAGTTCTCACCTAAGGGACACCTTTCTCAAGATGTCAGCTGGTGGTGCTCAACTGTGCTCAGCTGTCCTCTGCCTTCAACTGCACAGAGTAGATCCCTAAATTGGTCAGTTTTCCATAGAGTCCAACCCTTTCCTGGAGCAATCAACTTCATGTCCAACTTACAAAATGTCCTAGGAAGCTCTGACAATTTTTTAGACAGTTTGGATGTGTCCTCAGCACTCAAGGTTAAATTTCATGTCTTATTTTGTTTTGGGGACTGGGTGTTACTGTGCATCCCAGGCTGGCCTCAAGCTCATAATCATTCTGCCTCAGACTCCTGAGTGCTGGGATGATAGGTAGGTGCTACCACAGCCATCAAAATCTCACTACTTCTTGGAACATTTTATTATGAGGACAAAATGTTTGATGAATGATCACATCCCTTTCTGCTTGCTACCCTGAGCCCCATTCTGTCTGCAGAGTTCTGCTCTGTGGAGTGGAAAAGAAAGGCTCAGTGCCATAGGGTTGAGGGCTCTGCTTCCTCCTGAGAGCAAAGGTGGCTCTTAGCTCCCTATGCAGTGGCCAGTGGTGGGCCTCACACATAGAAGACACTCACTAAACTGTTGCCTGGTGAATGATTGTATAAACAGCTGAGAAACAGGTACTGAGAATGTAAGTCTGATGAGAGAAAGAATGTCATTAAGGGAAAACCCACACTGGCACTGTGTGTCTACTTACTTAATAGAATCACTGAAATCCATGTCAGTGGAATCTATTATAACTGGGGCTGCTGGCGAGCTGGTAGTTACAGAGGTTTCTGGGATTGACTCCGTTTGGGACATGAAGGCACTGTAGGGCTTGACGCATGGCACAAACCTACAAAGGTGAGGAGGCAATGCAAACTGAAAACTGGTGGCCCCCAGGCTCCCATTTTTCCAAGGCCAACCACCATATCCTAGACCAGGAAGACCTAGAAGGACAGCTTTGCACCCTCTCTTAGACTTGATTTTATGGCCTACCCATCTCAGTGTGGGCCCAGGATACTCTCTCTGAGTACCCACAGGCTCCTGGGCTTCCCTTCTTCATCTTATGTTGATCTCAGATTTTTTTAAAAAATTGTTTTTATTGAATTTTTGTATATTTCATACAGAATATCTCAAACAATCTTAATCATCTTTATACCTCCGTCTCCACTGGTACCCTCCCATAGCCCCCACACTGAAACCCATATACTCTGTCATTTGTGTTAAGGCCCACTGTGTTAAGTCAGTGTCCCCAGACACCCCCCAGTGCAAATCTATCCACTGAGGTCTAGTCAGCCTATGTAGAGTCCCTTGTTTAGGAAGATCAGTTTTTCCTCACATAGCAGTAATCAGTTGCCACTATTTCTTCAGCTAAGTTTGGGGGTCTGCTGTTCATTTCCCTATTACCTTCTTACATCCATCCTTCTCATCCCCAATAGACCATGAGCTCACTAAAGACTTGTTTCTAATAGGGCACCAGATACAGTGCCTTCCCCACTTCCTGTCAGGGCCCTGAAAAAAAAAAGCACAACCTTGTCCCTTATAATGCCTTATTAGTTTTCAGTGACTTACTTAGCACATCCTAGTCCTGGTACCACCAATGAACTTTGCTGTCACTCAAATTCCGGAGAAATTAGGAGGCTGCATCTAATGTTCATGTTTCACTCATTAGATTAGAAAGGGCACTAGCTATCAGCAGGGTCAAAGCTAAGGTGATTTTCACTTATTTTTTTAATATTTATTATTGTTTTTTTTATGTGTATGCATGTAATTGCCTGCATGTAGGTAAGTGCACCCGTGTTGTGCAATGCCTATGGAGGACAGAAGAGACTGTAGGATCCTCTGGAACTGGAGTTACAGACACTTGTTAGCTGCCATGTGGGTGCTGGGATTCAAATCCAGGTCTTCTGTAAGAGCAGCCAGTGTTCTTAACTGCTGAGCCATCTCTCCAGCCCCCCAATTCACTTATATATTCATTCTGGTCCTATATGCACTCAGAGGCTCAGTAGAAATACCATCTAATACATGAAGTTCCCACCATGGCCACAACTTCCCTTTGGAGGAGGAAATTCTCCCCAACTGAAGCTTCACAGCATCCTCTCTATGTTTCTTTTAGGATGCTGTCCACTTCCCACTGTGGCCAGGAGTGCTGTTTCCTAAACTCCATGATTACCTTCAGGATTTCTATCTATCAAGTATTGCCCAATAAAGAAATTTTATTGAGGCATAATTTACATACCAAATTAGCTCACCAGTATACAGTTTGATGAAATTTTACAACATATTTACCTGTGTAACTACCATGCTATTCATAGACAAACATGTTCCTTTCATCCCTAAAAGTTACATATCATCCTTGCTGACTTGTTTTATGACATTGTAGATCAGGTTTGCCTACAGGTTCATAGAAAGGAATAAGAAATATATACTTATTTGTGTCTGACTTCTTTGGTTCAACATAAAATTTTTGGGATTTGTGGTGCTGTTACATGGAACAGTAGTTTTGTTTTGTTTTGATTTTTAAACTGGGTAGTATTCCACAGTATGGTACTTACCAGTCTTCTGTTGATAGACATCCAAACTGTTGACAGCTTTTGGATGCTGTTAATAAAATTGCTATGGACATTTTCATATAAGTCTGTGTGGATATGTATTTATTCTCTGCCATGGTTTGTGTCTGGAATGCCCCCAAGGCCTATGTGTTAAAGGTTGGTGCTATTCAGAGGTGGTAGAATTTCTGTGAGGTCAGGCCTAGAGGGAGAGCTTTAGGTCACTGAGGAGAGAGTGGAACCCTGATCTCTTCCTCCTTCCTTTGCTCCCTGTCTCTTGATATGAGTGGTTTTATTCTGCTTTATGACCCTACCATGATGTGTTGCCTTGTCACAGGCCCCAAAGAACCAAGGAAAACCAACAATGGACTGATGCCTCTAAAACTGGGAGCCAAAGCAAACCTTTTCTCTTTATAAGATGATTGGCTTGGGTGGTTCTTTTTTTTTTTTTTTAAATAGTAATGGAAAGCTGATGAATGCATTCTTCTTGGATAAATTCCTTTGTGGGAATCTGCTGAATTGTATAACCTATGCAAGTTTAACATTAAAGGAAACTGGAGGAAATTGCTAAACAGTTTTCCAAAGTGGATGCACCACTTTTTAAATTTTAGAATATTTTTATTACTCCACAGAAAGGAAATTTTAACACATTTTTTCCAGAAATAACTTGAAGAAGGTTATATAAAAATATATACACAATGAAGTTTAAGGGGGTGAAAATAGGAATAAGCAATGTCATGGTGTTAGAGGGGGGAGTCAGTTACCCCTCCTACCCAATTGGTCAGCCTTAGCTGCATGTGGGGAAGGGGCTAAGGATATACAAGCTGAGAATGCCGTAAGGGACCTCTCTCAGCATTTTGTGTGGCTGTCGGGAAGTCACAGGATCTATATCTGAATGTGGACTTTGCAACACAGCCATAAATGCTGGTCTTCTGTAAATAAACCCCTATACTATGTTCTGTTAACAAGCCCAACAAACTAGTTAGGATTAAAAAAAAGACAGATGTAATGGAAACCTTCATTATTACCCCAAAGTTGACCCCATATTGGCAAATCCTTTGGTGGATAGACCATTTTACATTATTACCTGAGGTGCCAGACGGTTCAGGTTGGGCCATAGTCTCATTCACACTTGCTATTAAGTTTTGTTTTAACCACTCAATGATTACACAGTGATTGCATGTTTTATATTCATTAATATACTTCTTTTTAGGGAAATTTTATATAATTATTATAAATGAAAGCCCAGTATTATTTGATTTTGAAAAATCAGCTGGGATATTAAAAAAAATCAATGTTATTGATATTTGCCTAGTGATGGCTTTGAACATTGCCTGTTCTTTTTAAGAAGGAAGGTCAGTTCACTTTCTCATTGAGAAAACCTGGGGCTGGCACCATCCACAACTGGGCTCATTGCTTTACAGAACTATGAGCATTTGGAGGTCAGGATCCTCTTCACAGACCTGTGATATAAAGTCTAATACATACACATGAGCTTGATTGCTGTTTGATTGACTGACTGCCTGGTTGGCTGGCTGGCTGGCTGGCTGGCTGGCTTGCTGGGTGGGTAGTTAAATGAGAATAGTTGAGCAGCAGGTAAATTTGACTGCTCCCCCACTGATGGCCTGATCTTTCTTGAGCATCCACTGGGCTTGTTCTCGACCGGATGCCTTTAGTTGACTATGCTTCTTGACAGAGGTTCTATGTTGGGTGAGGTGCTAGAAAAATCTCCTGAGAAACTCAATACAATGAAGATTCTTGACTCTCATCCTTGGGTAGATCCTGATTCAGCAGGCTTCAGGTAGGGCCCAGGAGTTAGTTTTAAGTCTTCCCAGATGCTTCTATTGGACAGTGAGACTGAGCAGGCACCATGGGCGAGAGTGTCACTGTGACAGCTTAGGATAAAGCTGATAATTAATGTGGGGTTAACACTATAGCCTTACCAGTAGGGACAGTGAGAACCAGCAAAGGACAATTTTGAGCATTTATTAAATCACCCCAGGTCAGCAGAGATGTCTAGGGGGGACCCTCTGCTGGGCCACTGTGCACATAAATAACTCTCTCATCCAACATTGGCACCCCTCCTGGGATCTCTTCCAGATTGAAAAGAGCATGTGGGAATGTATGTCAAGGAAAAATACAAAGCTGTGGTATCTGCACACCTGAGGAAAAACAACACCTCAACCAGGAAGCAAGAGGTCTTTTTGGAAAAAAAAACAAGAGACACTAACACAGTTCATTCTGAGCCACAGGAGATGACAAGACCTTTACTTCCAGACTGGAGGCTTTAATTTATTAAAATTTGCTCTCCCCAAATTCAAACAGAACATTGGTAGAGCTTTTGGGATCAGATTTATTTTACCCTGAAGTATAGATGATTACATTTCTGTTACACTGACCCTCATGGGAATAGATTTCTGTTATTTTTTAAAAGAGCGTGTACAGCAATCAAAGAAAATCAATATCGCTCCAATTCTAGAAGAATCTCTGGATACACTGGGAGAGGACATGCCCTGACAGCATCTTGAGAATGTCAAACACAGGCCGGTCAGCAACTGACCTGGGCTCAGGTGTCTTTCTTTTTGTGCTTTATTTTGGACTCTTGGGTAAGGATCAATATAACACTTTATGCTGCAGAGTTAAAAAAAAATCCACCACACTCATTTCCTATTCTCCCTTTACAGCTAGCTGCATGGTAGGGGAACAAAAGCCCAAGAATCAGCTTGTGTTTCAGCTGTGTGTTGGAATTCTTGGGTTATTTTCAGATGGGAAGGTGAAGGTCAGACATCCACTCAGGTCTGGGCAGTGCAGTCTAGGTCTTAGTGGAGAAAGGATAGTGGGAGTAGGGAGCTTTGCAGTAGACACTAGTGACTGCTGATTTGTTTATTCACTGGATTTGAGTTCTGAGAGTTCCCCCTACTGAGGATTAGAATAACCTCTGCTGTAGCTGTATGAAAAAGGCCTGCAGATGGGCTTGTCTGCCTGGACAAAGAGAACTCACATAGGCTGTTTTCCAAATTGATGATGTAGAAGATGCTGATGGCCCATGTCTAGATCCCCCTTACTAGGAGGGTGTGTGCATGGCCTGGGTTACTGTGTGCTGAGCACACCTTTCTCTGGAACATTGCCCTGGCCTAATAGAAGCTGCCTCGCCCACCAAGAGTTGCTCAGGAGACTGCATCTTCCCTCAGGAAAGGTGCATACACGTAGTCAAAGGTCTGTTTGATTTGGTGATGCTCTAACAGTCCAGCCTCCTTATCTGTGAATGGAACAAATCTTCATGACACAGTCTACTCTCCATAGC